TGTGACCCTCATTTACCTGATTGTGACAGTGTACTGTGGCCCTGATTCACCTGATTGTGTCAGTGTACTGTGTCCCTGATTCACCTGATTGTGACAGTGTACTGTGACCCTGATTCACCTGATTGTGTCAGTGTACTGTGACCCTGATTCACCTGATTGTGTCAGTGTACTGTGGCCCTGATTCACCTGATTGTGTCAGTGTACTGTGACCCTGATTCACCTGATTGTGTCAGTGTACTGTGACCCTGATTCACCTGATTGTGTCAGTGTACTGTGACCCTGATTCACCTGATTGTGTCAGTGTACTATGGCCCTGATTCACCTGATTGTGTCTGTGCACTGTGTCCCTGATTCACCTGATTGTGTCAGTGTAGTGTGGCCTTTAGTCACCTGATTGTGTCAGTGTACTGTGACCCTGATTCACCTGATTGTGTCAGTGTAGTTTGGCCTTTAGTCACCTGATTGTGACAGTGTAGTGTGACCCTGATTCACCTGATTGTGTCAGTGTAGTGTGGCCTTTAGTCACCTGATTGTGTCAGTGTACTGTGACCCTGATTCACCTGATTGTGCCAGTGTAGTGTGGCCTTTAGTCACCTGATTGTGACAGTGTAGTGTGACCCTGATTCACCTGATTGTGTCAGTGTACTGTGACCCTGATTCACCAGATTGTGACAGCGTACTGTGGCCCTGATTCACCTGATTGTGTCAGTGTACTGTGACCCTGATTTACCTGATTGTGACAGTGTACTGTGGCCCTGATTCACCTGATTGTGGCAGTGTACTGTGACCCTGATTCACCTGATTGTGACAGTGTAGTGTGACCCTGATTCACCTGATCGTGACAGTGTAGTGTGGCCCTGATTCACCTGATTGTGACAGTGTATTGTGACCCTGATTTACCTGATTGTGACAGTGTACTGTGGCCCTGATTCACCTGATTGTGTCAGTGTACTGTGACCCTGATTCACCTGATTGTGACAGTGTACTGTGACCCTGATTCACCTGATTGTGTCAGTGTACTGTGACCCTGATTCACCTGATTGTGTCAGTGTACTGTGGCCCTGATTCACCTGATTGTGTCAGTTTACTGTTACCCTCTCATTCACCTGATTGTGTCAGTGTACTGTGACCCTGATTCACCTGATTGTGTCAGTGTACTGTGACCCTGATTCACCTGATTGTGTCAGTGTACTATGGCCCTGATTCACCTGATTGTGTCTGTGCACTGTGTCCCTGATTCACCTGATTGTGTCAGTGTACTGTGGCCTTTAGTCACCTGATTGTGTCAGTGTACTGTGACCCTGATTCACCTGATTGTGTCAGTGTAGTTTGGCCTTTAGTCACCTGATTGTGACAGTGTAGTGTGACCCTGATTCACCTGATTGTGTCAGTGTAGTGTGGCCTTTAGTCACCTGATTGTGTCAGTGTACTGTGACCCTGATTCACCTGATTGTGTCAGTGTAGTGTGGCCTTTAGTCACCTGATTGTGACAGTGTAGTGTGACCCTGATTCACCTGATTGTGTCGGTGTAATGTGACCCTGATTCACCTGATTGTGGCAGTGTACTATGACCCTGATTCACCTGATTGTGACAGTGTACTGTGGCTCTTATTCACCTGATTGTGACAGTGTACTGCGGCCCTGATTCACCTGATTGTGTCAGTGTAGTGTGGCCTTTAGTCACCTGATTGTGACAGTGTAGTGTGACCCTGATTCACCTGATTGTGTCAGTGTACTGTGGCTCTGATTCACCTGATTGTGTCAGTGTACTGTGACCCTGATTCACCTGATTGTGACAGTGTAGTGTGACCCTGATTCACCTGATTGTGTCATTGTAATGTGACCCTGATTCACCTGATTGTGTCATTGTAATGTGACCCTGATTCACCAGATTGTGTCAGTGTACTGTGACCCTCTCATTCACCTGATCGTGTCAGTGTAGTGTGGCCCTGATTCACCTGATTGTGTCAGTGAAGTGTGGCCCTGATTCACCTGATTGTGTCAGTGTACTGTGACCCTTATTCACCCAAATGTGTCAGTGTGCTGTGGCCTTGATTCATCTATCTGAGCAGTAAATGGGTACCCAATAGGATGAAATGGCAATGTGGTTGTTAACCTAGTGCCAGAATTATTCAGAAAATTTGACGACACTTGCAGTACTCAGCATCATCATTTTGAGGTGGAAGTGTATAGGTATATGGTGGCATCAACTCATCATTGTTAACTGCAATTTGAATGACCTACGGGACATGTTCCACCCTTTGTGCAAATGTAGGATAATTCCCACCCACTCGTGTTTTAACAGACTTTTTGAGGCAGCATAACATAGCAATACTGCCATGGCCAGCTGTTTCTCCAGGATCTCCCCTATAGAACATGTCTGGGATGAGAAGGAGTGACACTAGGACCAGATACAGACAGTAAAACTGCTCATTTGGGCCAATCTTTGGTTGACATTTGGAACAACATTCCCTAGGCTGTTGTCATTCATCTTGTGTCTTCAGTGGCCACTGCCTGGCCTTTATCAACACAAAATAATGGTGATCACACCTAACATTGTTAATTGTGTTGTTACACCATCCCTCTTTTAGAGCAAGTAGGTCTGTCTCCTGTGCAGGGACCCAACAAGAGCAAGTGTGTGCCGAGAGTCCTCGGCAACGTACTCCAGGGAAGCATTTAAACTGAGCAGGCAGTTGTAAATGCGCTAGTCACGGTCCGTGGGAGAACCTTCGACCAGACTGGCCGCTGCAGCCAAGTAAGTGTCTCCGTGAGACATGGAGTTCCGAGCGAGGGCGTCCAGCTGGTGCAAGGTAGCTTGCGTTACCGTAGCAGCCGGTGGGGCACGGACACCCAACCGCTCAACATGGGCCTCCGCGGTAGGACCAGCCTCGGGAAAGGCAAGGTCATGTACCGGGAATAATCCCTTTCCCCACGACGTCGGAGGCAACGGGAGACCCCGACCGGAGGCCGCCGCGAAGGCGTTCTCCAAGGAAGGCTTGATACCGCGCAGCAAGGTTGATGCGGGGAAAGCCGTGTCGGAAGACTCATCGTATACCTCGGAGGAACCCACAGAGCCGTGGATTCCCCTCGGTACCGGCCGGGGCCGAGGCATGTCCTCAAAGAGGTCATAAACCATGGCCACGCGGTCCTTAACCGATAGCGGGAGCAACGGTTCGGGGGAAGGACCGGTGACCACAGCCAATGACGGAACAGCCAGCGGCCTATCCTGAGATAAGGCCACCAGCTTGGAGTCCACAAGTTTTGCAAGTAATGCAGCGACGGAAACCCCGGACAGCCCACGGGCCGCCAAGGGATCCGCCGCAGCCGTGGTGGTGGTACCCGCAAGGGGACCCCAACCGGACGAGCCGGCCACCACAGGGGTGGAAACGGACTGCACATACAGCCGGTAGCGCTCGCTTGCGGCACAACCCGCAGCTCCTGGTTGCGGGGGTAGAGGGGGTGGAGGACGGCGAAACATCCATGTCAGACATTTTGTTTGTACTATGAACAAAGAACAAACATGGTTACAACACACGCACCACAAATAGTCACAAACGAGTATTTTCACCAGAAAATAAACGAAATGCGAATAAAGAACATACACATATAACATATAGAGGAATAAGTGATGTAGAAAACCCAAGATATACTAGAACAGGGGAACGTAAGACGCAACGTGCATACGAGACACCCAGCAAGTATATAGAAAAAAAGGGCGGGAAAAATATTTCCTTTTGGCGGGAAAAATATTTCCAAGCGTAGTTACAGCAAACGCCCCATAAAAGCACAGTTTATTAGAGAGAATAAACAGTAATAAATATCACCGAATGGTCGGAGAAACAGGAACGCTTGAGCAGTTTATTGTACGTCTTGCTAGAGCAAGCGAAGAGACAAGAGTGAAGGGTGTCACATGGCAGCTAGGTGGCTACGCACGTGCTGCATGAGGTAATTGATATCTCTGTAGTAGATTTCGCTATAGCAGCAGTTGTGGGAGACAACAGCCTCGGTATAACAGTGGTAACGTATTACTTAATGTAATTATTGTACAACACGTACAGCACACAGGTTTATTGTACAACACGTACAGCACACTGGTTTATTGTACAACACCTACAGCACACTGGTTTATTGTACAACACTTACAGCACACTGGTTTTTTGTACAACACGTACAGCACACTGGTTTATTGTACAACACTTACAGCACACTGGTTTATTGTACAACACTTACAGCACACTGGTTTATTGTACAACACTTACAGCACACTGGTTTATTGTACAACACGTACAGCACACTGGTTTATTGTACAACACGTACAGCACACTGGTTTATTGTACAACACGTACAGCACACTGGTTTATTGTACAACACGTACAGCACAATGGTTTATTGTACAACACTTACAGCACACTGGTTTATTGTACAACACGTACAGCACACTGGTTTATTGTACAACACTTACAGCACACTGGTTTATTGTACAACACGTACAGCACACTGGTTTATTGTACAACACGTACATCTCACTGGTTTATTGTACAACACTTACAGCACACTGGTTTATTGTACAACACGTACAGCACACAGGTTTATTGTACAACACGTACAGCACACTGTTTTTTTGTACAACACGTACAGCACACTGGTTTATTGTACAACACGTACAGCACACTGGTTTATTGTACAACACGTACAGCACACTGGTTTATTGTACAACACTTACAGCACACAGGTTTATTGTACAACACGTACAGCACACTGGTTTATTGTACAACACGTACAGCACACTGGTTTTTTGTACAACACGCACAGCACACTGGTTTTTTGTACAACACGTACAGCACATCCCTCAACAAACTGGGCTTTTTTTATCAGAAACAAGTTTCAAAGAAACAAAGTAGCCTTCTAGGATAAAATTCATACCTTGCTACCTTTGAAACTTACCATAAAACTCATCCTCAAACCCATGTATGCTCCAATGTTCATGAGGTTGATATTTTCCAGGTCTATTTCTTCCTTGGGTGCATCATCAGCCCATTTCTGGCCAGTCGACCATTCCCCAGACTGGAAGTGCTCCTTGGCACGTTCATGTGCACTGTGCTTCCTCTATCAGCAACAAAACACAATGATTGCTTGAATCTAAACTCATCAAATCTTCTTGAAAAAGATCAAATGAAGAACATAGAAATAGGCAATAACCATTTATTCATAATTAACAAATCATAATGCTCTATGGATTTCTTTCTGGAAAATTCAAGTCATAAGGTTAGCTCTATACCAGGACAAGACAAGGCAGGCAGAACAGTACGTTTTTATTGACCATGATTGAATGTCCCTACTTACCCTCATGTTAGACATGAGTTTTTTATCCAGGGTTTGTTCCAGGAATCGAGGACTGACTTGATGTAGAGAGCCCTTGAAATACCAAAACATGGAAAAATGTGTCTCGCAGTGACAGAAAGCTTGAATGTCAGAAAACATAACATATAGGCAAATACATTTTAAACAATTGATATACTGCTGAGGCCTCATACATGACTGAAATCATAAAACGGCACTAACGTACTGTCGGAAATGCTAGAAAAATGCTTTTCTGGCTTCATGTAATAAATACGAGACATAGGACTATAAAAGAGCATATATATCAAAATAACCGAATTGACCTAATCTTGCCTAATTGACATTGTGATTACCCTCAAAATGTACTTTTACAAGTAAAATCATGATAAAGTTAGAAAATATTTGTGTGTTGTCATGCATGTATGAAAAGTCCAATAACCTGAGGTAATTACCTAACACCTGTCCCGAGGTGATGACCTCACATCGGCCTGTGCATTCTCCCAGGTGCAAATGTCACCAGAGTTGGGGGTGATCTCACAATATTGCTGTTATTGTTCTTAATTGACATGCATTGATAGGGTAGCAATTAAGGATATGTACTGCATTATATTTGCTTGGAAACATGATGGACTAGTTAAGAGCCATGAAATGGGATGAGTATTGGAAGTTTGGGTTTTTGGAATCAATAAGTATTTGTTATTCTGCAGATGATTTCTTGAGGTAGCATCTATCCCTCCTGATGATGACTATGAATCTGTACTATCACCCAAAGGTATGATAACTGGTTCAACAAGGCTGATGTCTAGCAAAGACTGAGTTGATCCTCCCTTTGACATGTGTGAACTTGAATGCTGTGTTATGTCTTGCCACAAACCACCCACAGTAATCGAGGATAGGCACAATAGGTTTGAGCTCACAATGTCTGACTGGCGTACTTAAGACAATGTGACAGTGTTGTGCCGCAAGCACATGTCTTGTACTTTACTGGTTTCTTATTCAGCCGGTCTGAAGTCGACAATGTCATATATTCCTATATGGTCGCCTTCAGACTAATCATGGTTTGTGTGACAGTATTTGATTCCCAAACATTACATAAACTGACGTTATCCATGACAATGACACTGAGGTTGTTTAAAATGGAAATAGCTGATGTTGCAACCAGACAATGAACATATCTCCTCCTATAATTTCCTCATGAAAATCACAAGTTTTCTTTTTCGGTCTTGCGGTGTGCAAAACAATGCCATGATTACCTTTACCTGATGGTACCATAGGTGCTTTTTGTCCATCTGCCGATAGCCACGTGTAGTCAGTGGAATGATTCAACAAAGTAAATGATCTGGAAGCCCTGACTTCAATGAATGGTGAGGAGATAATGTGACCTCATCGACAGGATGGAATATTTTCCCCTGAAAACTGCTCGCCATGTGCAGTGTATCGAAATCGGCAACATTTAGTGCAGTCCGAAAACATTAATTGTAACTTTAATTTCCTCCTGAATTTTACAAGTCGGGGATACCTTCTGCTCATAAGCTTGTACACTATATCCTTTTATGTCCAGGTTTCGTTTTTGAGACCACCCTTAAACCTTTTTGTTTTATTTATCAATCCTTAGACTTGATGGTATTAAAAAACCCAAAGCTTGGCCAGTTCAGTAATTCACGCCATCTAAACTAAAAAAAGTAAAGAACTTTCCTAATACAGACTCAATATCATGTACCATGGCTATGATTATTTGTAAGTGTAATGTAACATGCATCATGGGAGCAGTGTTGACAAAAGAAACGCAGCGTCATTTTGTTATTTTAGAAGATGCACATCTAGAATTTTCTCAATATGATTTCTTTTGTGTGTATTAGATATTTTATGAAGACTAAATTATTATCATTATAACAGAGTCACATGCTCAAATTTCTATAGTCTGTTTTAGACTGCCAACATTGGACTTAAAATAAATGTGAACTTACTGTTTTTGTTCGACTTGTTCTCCTGTAAACTTGTCGATAGGATTCCTTGTGACTGAAATACTTCCAACCACATGTAGGTCGATTGGTAGTCACTCAATATTACAATAGCAAAAGACTATTTTTAACGGGGAAAAAGCATTTTTCTAGCATTTCTGAAGTACTTTAGGCCTGGTACCAGCATCAGGTCTCATTGGGGAAATAAATGATTAGCCTTTATACAAATAGACAATGTCAGACTCATCTAAGGGAGTAACATCCCACGTTGTAACCATGGTAATTAGGGGAAGCTCACCAGCAGAGAGGCAGCTTCTACCCGAACCTTCACAGAGATGTCGTTGATCATGTTACAGATTTTAGCGAAGCCATCATCCACTAGGCGTAGCTCCTCCATTGACGATTCACACACAGGCACCAGACTGAAACACAGACACAGGCACCAGACTGAAGCACAGACACACACAGGCACCAGACTGAAACACAGACACACACAGGCACCAGACTGAAACACAGACACACACAGGCACCAGACTGAAACACAGACACACACAGGCACCAGACTGAAACACAGACACACACAGGCACCAGACTGAAACACAGACACACACAGGCACCAGGCTGAAACACAGACACACACAGGCACCAGGCTGAAACACAGACACACACAGGCACCAGACTGAAACACAGACACACACAGGCACCAGACTGAAACACAGACACACACAGGCACCAGACTGAAACACAGATACCGGCACCAGACTGAATCACAGATACAGGCACCAGACTGAAACACAGACACACACAGGCACCAGACTGAAACACAGACACAGGCACCAGACTGAAACACAGACACACAGGCACCAGACTGAAACACAGACACACACAGGCACCAGACTGAAACACAGATACCGGCACCAGACTGAATCACAGATACAGGCACCAGACTGAAACACAGACACACACAGGCACCAGGTTGAAACACAGACACACAGAGGCACCAGACTGAAACACAGACACACACAGGCACCAGACTGAAACACAGACACACACAGGCACCAGACTGAAACACAGATACCGGCACCAGGTTGAAACACAGACACACACAGGCACCAGACTGAAACAGATACCGGCACCAGACTGAATCACAGATACAGGCACCAGACTGAAACACAGACACACACAGGCACCAGGTTGAAACACAGACACACACAGGCACCAGACTGAAACACAGACACACACAGGCACCAGACTGAAACACAGACACACACAGGCACCAGACGGAAACACAGACACACACAGGCACCAGACTGAAACACAGATACCGGCACCAGACTGAAACACAGACACACACAGGCACCAGACTGAAACACAGATACCGGCACCAGGTTGAAACACAGACACACACAGGCACCAGACTGAAACACAGACACACACAGGCACCAGACTGAAACACAGATACCGGCACCAGGTTGAAACACAGACACACACAGGCACCAGACTCAAACACAGACACAGGCACCAGACTGAAACACAGACACACACAGGCACCAGACTGAAACACAGACACACACAGGCACCAGACTGAAACACAGACACACACAGGCACCAGACTGAAACACAGACACACACAGGCACCAGACTGAAACACAGACACACACAGGCACCAGACTGAAACACAGATACCGGCACCAGGTTGAAACACAGACACACACAGGCACCAGGTTGAAACACAGATACCGGCACCAGGTTGAAACACAGATACAGGCACCAGACTGAAACACAGATACCAGCACCAGGATGAATCACAGACACACACAGGCACCAGGTTGAAACACAGATACCAGCACCAGGATGAATCACAGACAAACACAGGCACCAGGTTGAAACACAGATACCAGCACCAGGATGAATCACAGATACAGGCACCAGACTGAAACACAGACACACACAGGCACCAGGTTGAAACACAGATACCAGCACCAGGATGAATCACAGACACACACAGGCACCAGGTTGAAACACAGATACCAGCACCAGGATGAATCACAGACACACACAGGCACCAGGTTGAAACACAGACACACACAGGCACCAGGTTGAAACATAGATACCAGCACCAGGATGAATGACAGACACACACAGGCACCAGGTTGAAACACAGATACCAGCACCAGGATGAATCACAGACACACACAGGCACCAGGTTGAAACACAGATACCAGCACCAGGATGAATCACAGACACACACAGGCACCAGGTTGAAACACAGATACCAGCACCAGGATGAATCACAGACACACACAGGCACCAGGTTGAAACACAGACACACACAGGCACCAGGTTGAAACACAGATACCAGCACCAGGATGAATCACAGACACACGCAGGCACCAGGTTGAAACACAGATACCAGCACCAGGATGAATCACAGACACACACAGGCACCAGGTTGAAACACAGATACCGGCACCTGGTTGAAACACAGACACACACAGGCACCAGGTTGAAACACAGATACCGGCACCTGGTTGAAACACAGACACACACAGGCACCAGGTTGAAACACAGATACCGGCACCTGGTTGAAACACAGACACACACAGGCACCAGGTTGAAACACAGATACCAGCACCAGGATGAATCACAGACACCGGCACCAGGTTGAAACACAGATATCGGCACCAGGTTGAAACACAGACAGGCACCAAGTTGAATCACAGACACAGGCACCAGGTTGAAACACAGATACAGGCACAAGGTTGAAACACAGATACCGGCACCAGGTTGAAACACAGACACAGGCACCAGGTTGAACACAAACACAGGCACCAAGATGAACACAGACACACACATGCGCCAGAATGAATCACAGACACACACAGACACTAGTACCAAGGGTTTAAATTGTTTTTTCAAATGTCATAAAATAACTTTCACAATTATTGAAAGACATGTTTTTATAAGTAATAGATTTTATTTTGTCCGCCTGTCTTCTAGTTAGTTGAGGCTTAAGGGGAGAAACACATCAGACCTGTCAACCTTCCCGCATTTTGCGGGAGACTCCCGCAATTTGATGAAATCTCCACGTCTCCCGCAAGATGGACTATTTCTGCCGCAAAACAGAATTCTTCATTATTTAAAACATTCGCCTCCATTGTCCCGTGAGTAAAAACAATGAACGGGAAGTTTGCATCCTGATCTGTCCGGTAGGCTCCCGGATTAGCGACCCGCAGGGGGACCCAGATGGGCCGTTGTCCAGTGATCAACTGGTAATTAAATTCATATGGTGAACGATTGAACAATGTAAACTGTTAAGAAAACTCGGATAGTCCTAACAGGTGCCTGAAGGGTTGAACTTGAAATGAAAAATCAGCCAAGTATTCATCACTTCATGAAATGAACTGTTGTCTTCATGTTCTTAGCGTGTTTATTCTTCCATAATTTAAGAACGTAGATACATATGGCCGGTCCAGTTATACATAACTTTATTGGTTATCAGATTTGTCAGAAACTTTGTTAAAACATCAACATACCTCAAAGTTACATCTTTGAACTCTTGGAAATGAAAACAAAATATGTCCTGTTTCTAGGAAGTTTAAGAAGCGAAGTAATGGGACTGTCAACAGACTACCGCAGACAGAAAAAAAACAGTATATCTTATTGAAATTAAGGGCGATGATGTTGCGTCAGGATAAATGCATTTGATATTTCTTTGGCGAATTTTGTAACCAACATCGCGCCAAATACTCAGAAAACCTGCACCGTAACCAAGCCTGACAACTGGTCGGATTTGAACACGTCGTCAACTGGTCAAGCTACCGATTGTGAAATTTCAATATCTGTTTGCGTTTATCTGAGATGATCTTTGAACGAAAGTTATATTGGTAGATTGTGCTGGGTTCATTTTTGGAGGAGGAAAATGCGGACGGAAATTAAGCAAGCTGTACGTATATATACTTATTGATTATTTATTGTTTCAAAATATTTGGTTTTCTTTGTAACATTATTAAAAATAAAAGTTGGAAATTATCTTATCTTCACTATCTTAAAAATCTCCCCCTTTGGAGGCAAATCTCCCCTATTTTGAAGTCAAATCTCCCAAATTGTCATGATGAGGGGTTGACAGGTCTGCACATACAAAAAATATGGATGGCTTTATGCAAATGACATTTGGCATGCCAATCAACAGGGACCTGGATCACTTGGACCCACCAACTTTCACGGATCGAGTTACTTCGGCATGAGGAGCTTTGGCTTGTCTGACTTTGCCAAAACACATTGCTACTGGGCAATGTGAACAGGTCCAGAAAAAGACCAAAAAAATACTTTCATCACTTGAAAATATTTTTGACCAGATGAAGGCAAGCCGAACACAACGAAGCAAAACATCGTTGAAATCACCGATTGCCGTATATATTGTGAGAAATGCTATTCATAAAACTGTAGATATACCATACACAACAGGATTACGATTGGTGCTGTGACACATATTATGTTTTTTTGTTCAATTTCACTGCTCTTATTCATCACGACAAACATATTTTGTTCGCGTCCAGAGAATAGCTCAGAACTATAATTTGTGTGTTGGACTGTGTTGGATAAATCGTGGACATTCCACGGTATCATTTTATGAAGAAGTGAAGACGAAATGGCAGGTACTTTTTGAAAACCAAAGACTAATTGTTTGTTGAAAAGTCTTCGAAGTGTTTGATGGATATTCATTACCAATAAAACATACGTCCTTGTTGTCAAACAGCCCATGTGGGTGTTTACATGACGACACACATTTACACATTAACCAATGAAATTTGTGTGTTATCATGACGTCATATTGACCTGTCAGATCACTCGTGTAAGCTCCGCCCACTAGAGTGCGGAAGTTCCTACCACAGATGGCCCTCTTAGACGATATGGATATCGACAACTGTGAGAAAAGTAATTCTGACAAAGAACCTTTTAAACCACAAGTGAAGAAAACTAAGGACTCAGAAACTAACAAAGGGATAAATTTAGGAAATCACACATCTCCTTGTACTCTTGTCCTGCAGAGTACATGTCATCATAGTACAAATCTAAAAAAAGAATTGCCCTTATTAATTGCAAATCTACTACTTTTCACTCCAAAAAAACAACATGACAAGACAACAAAGACTTAATTTAGTGAGTGAGCTCACCTTTCTGGGTAGAGATGACATAGAACCCACACCACTTTGACTGCTGCCCTCCGCACATCCTCATAGTCATCTGTGAATGCCTGACATGCATGCTGGTGAATACTTAGGTCAAGCTGCAAGCCACGCTGGTGGAAACTCACCTGCAATAACACATCACATGAACAAACCTGCAATAACACAGGACATGAACAAACCTGCAATAACACAG